TTTTTCATTCAGACCGTGCTTTGTTATGAAGAAAGAATTGGAAAAGTTTATCTCTATATATCTCTTCATATTTATACCTGGCACAGTGATGATAAGACTGCCATTTGCTTTTATTTCAAATGAAGGGGGTTTTGCCCCCATGCTTATTTCAGAAGCCTGTATAAATCTTGCCCCATATGGGAGTAATTTTGAACGTATTAAATAATGATTTTTCTACGTCTCTCTCACTTTGATGTGGCCTCCTAGGAGAAAGAACTATCCTGGATATACGACTTGGTCATGTTTTAACAATTCAATGATCTCTTCAAAATCCTTCAATAAAATATAAGTTTTTAAAAAAAAGAACAACTGCACTTAGCCCAGTTGATAAGAGGCCCTGTCCCCCATAAATTATAATGTAACAACTTTTTGAACACATACTCAAAATTCACAATTTTTTCTTATTTTTAAAGCTATTTTTTATCATTTGATTAATTGCTTAAAACCGTACACAAAGATAAAGGGAACTTTGAAATTCATACCTTGGAGTATTAACATGTACTCAGGACTAGATGTAAATGTCAGAGAGAAAAAAGATCTAATGAACTCTTTATTGGTGAAATACTGTATTGCAGCTGCCTAGAATTTTAAAAGGTTTACAGCTAGCTCCAAAGCAAAATAACTACAGAAGTTTACTTACACCATGGGCTCTCATTCAGCATTTCTAATGTCTTCTTCAGGGTAGATGGAAGCCGTTTGTTTTGCTAGAAGTTGCAGCTATTTCATCTCGTTGAAGTTTAGTGGATCCTCTTAACGTCAGCAAAATGTCCAGGAAAAAAGAAAAAAAAAAAAAAGAAAAAAAAATGTGTAACCGCAGAAGTATTTCTCTGCCTAGAAAATTACATGACCATAAGTTTTCCTTTTCCCTGATGTCTTCTCTGCCATAATAATGGCTTCAGGATTTAAATCCTTTGCTGCTATTGTGACTTCAAAGCCTTAAAACTGCAATTGAATGAAGTAGTTCATCTGTCATTATTCAAATATGAAGCAATTATGATGAAATAAAGATAGAATTCCATTGAGAAATACCCCAATCAATTCTCACTTATATTTAACTAGAAACATAAAATGATGCTTAGAAGAGTAAGTTTAGGTAATAAAAACTTGGAATATAAAAAGTATGAATTACTGATCTATAACTTACTCATTTCTGAATAAGCTTTCTAAATATATTTCACAAATTTTGACAAAAGTTTAAGCTTACAATGCAAAGCTGTCTCTCAGCTGGTTGTAAAGTGTGACTAGCTTTTCGGAAACATATTTTCATCAGTTTGGTTGCCCAGAGGTTCAGATGGGAACCTGCTGAGATTTTTAAGGGTTTCTGAGCAGGTCAGCTCCCTCTGAAATACCTTAGATCGTGACGTCTTAATTGCGTCGGGGACTAATGGGTTTTACAAGTGAGTATATGAAATAACACACCTACCTTGGCTGTGTCTTCATTACATTGTTGTCACTGCTTTGATGTTTAAATGTCCTGTGAAGCCCTTCCATGGATTTAGCCCTAGATGTTTATTTTCCCCTTTCTGAAACAAAACCAAGGCCCATGCCAACCCCTGGGGCTAGAAATTCCAGGGAATCCCACCTGTACACACTTGTACCTGGGAACATGAACATAACAATGTAACATAGGTTAAAAAAGTATTTTTTTATTATCTTCCATCCTTTCTTTCCCCTTTCAACTTTCTTGCTTAATCTACCCGTGTGTAATACTCAGCTGATAAAATGAAAGCAAAGTGGATTCTGCGGTTGCCAGACCAAGGGCTCCAACTTTTTGCATCTTAAGCTCTTCTAATGGGTCGTGTCCTTCCCATTCTCAATCAAGCAACAAGCTCAGATGAGAAAATAACTATATGTCATACCTTTTTCTTTACTCATAGGGTACTGGGTTTTTTGGAAAACAAAAACATCCTTTTCTGCTAATGAAAGAGGACTTTGCCTTCTCTTTAGTCTTCCTATGGCAAAACAGGGTTAAAAAAAAAAAAAAAAAAGCATTAATTGATCCTACAGTATTTTTCCCCCATGTTTTCAGCGGTTGCAGTCAGTTTGAGAGATGTGTACAGTATCAAATCGTGTTGTGCTGAGGAAGATCACATACAACCAGGGATCTACATATTCACCTTTATCTTCCTTTATTTTATAGGCATTTCATCACTTGACCTGGGTATCAATTTTCTGTCATTGACAGACACTTGTGTCTTGCAGTTTAATTTGGGAAGATAATTTCTTGAGACAATCCAAGAACTAAATGCTATCGCAGTTGGAAAGCAGCAGAACTTAATACTGAATTTTAAATCAGAGATGAAACTTGCAAGAAGCATTTGGCATATATACAATTAATTATTTCACACATAATTATTCCTGATATTACTCTAACTGTGATAACTTAGAGTGTTTGAAAAAGCAGACTGTAATATTGGGTTGGTTTTTTTGTTGGTGGTTTGTTGTTTTTTTTTTTTGCACAGAAGCTCTTTCACTTGATATTCTCTCGCTAAATAATATGTAAAATACTGACACCTAATGTTAACTTTCAGTATTATTCATTTTGCAAATGGGAAAGAAAATGTGAAACTGGTGCTTATGCTGTAAATTTGTTTCAGTAAAATGCAATATAGCCTTCCCTCATTTTTTTGAAATAATTTTCTGAATTTCTATATATACACCTAGAAAAGCAACGAGCTTTCATGTTTATCTTTAGAGCTCATAGGCAAAAAAGAAAGAGTAATTCTGAAAAGTTGAAATAAGTGATTTTTGACTCATTGAATTTAATCCAATCCATCAAACGGAACACAAATTCTTATTTATAAAGTCAATATTTGTTAATATTGAAGCATTACTGAAAGACAAAATACTATTACACATTTATTAAAAATATGTTATTTTTCAAAACCTGGACTGTATAGATTCAGTAAGTCCTTTACCTACCCTGCTTGGTTGACTCTCCTCAGAGACAAAAGGAGTTGTCCTCACGGTTCATGAATTTAATTCAGATGCCAAACTGTGACCTCAGAATTCACCATGTATCGCCCTCTGACTTCCAAGACACACAGTCCAAACCTGATGTCTAGGTGCTATGTAGAAAGAGGTTTTGAAGGTCTTACTCCTCCTGGGTTTGTTGCACAATCAAGGTCCAGCTGAACTAGGTAAAGTACATTATACTACGACCTAGTGTCATATCTGGATTTACATTAAGCTTGCCTAACATTATAAGGAAGACATAGGTGACTTAGCCAGAGCTGTACGGCAGCACAAGTGCTTCAAAGGCACTGACAGTGAATTAAACCCCTCCTCAACACTGTGGGCCATCACAGTTTTATATTCAGTGCTTTTTTCATCAACAGTCACTCTATGGAAAATGGTCCTCTCCTAAGATCCCACCACTTGAGAGGTGAAAGTAGCTGTGCGGTGGATGCAAGTCTAAAAATAAAACCACGGCCACTGAAATACAGATACCTGGTCTGCAATAAAATTATACAGTTCCAGCTGAATTAAAGAGCGATGACGTCAATATAACCAAAACTTCCTGAGCAAGCCAGAGTTTTTCAATTGATTAAGACTCCTATGCTATTCTTTATAACAACATTCTAGCTTATGAAGCTGTTCTTACTCTTCACAGGTGCTAAGAATACCAACAAATGCTTTATTTGCAGTTCTTTCAGCTCTCCTGTACACATAACAACCAATGAAATAGGTATTACTGCAGCAGGGATTTTAAAGGTATCTATTTTGGGGCTATTTTAGAGCACAGGTAGACAATAGGACAGTCCTTAGGTTTCCTTGTGCAACGGGAGATGATCAAAGAGTGTGAAAATTTCAACCAGCAAAAATGCTCTTGAGCCAAAATGGAGTAGTCCTCACGTCATCACCCAAACCCTCTCACCCCCTTGAATTGGAATGAAAAGGACAACCAAAAGTAATTTTCTCAGTGTTTCATCCCAAATATCCGACACACAGAGTATCAGCAGAGAGAAAGTTTTAGCTGGTTCTTGCAAAAGGGTATGCGCTGAATAGCTACAGACTTAGGAGCCTCCTTGCCGTTTATGCCAAGGTGTTATTTATGGCTTAAAAGAACTCCAGGTAGTGTTGGTTAAATGTAAAGGGTTTTTCTTCATTGCCTTTAGCTGTCTAGTAAAAATATCTGTAAAAATTGGGGCCACACTAAGTGAGCAATGAGCTATTTTGCTGCTGCTTAAACAGTTCAGAGTTCATTTTGCCTAATCCAAATTAAGCCTTGTCAAAACGGCAGTAAGGGCTCCTGCAGCCCTTCACACTGGTGTACATGAATTTAACATTGCTCTCATCTTTCTCAAGCCTACCATCTCCGAGATGACTACCTAGAAAGATAAAGAGGAAATGCTTTGTTTTAGCCAACTGTATCACACCCAAGGAGGTGTCTGCAATGTGAATTAATTCTTCAATTAAATCATTAATTAAACCAGATTTTCAAAATGTTGGGCCCTTTGAAAAATCCAGTATGCAGCAGTTAGCAGTTTTTAAACAACTAATTGTTCAACTTTTACTTTTCAAGTATACCATGTACTTTAAATAGAATTGATAAATTAAAAATGTAAATTGGACTGTATCTTTTAACTGTTGGTGATTTGTCTATTTTCCACTTTTTATTATGCATAATTTTTATAATAAAGAAGGGATTTTTTTTTCATTCCTGTTCTAGTTGATAGCAATTCTTCCATGCTTCTCAAAGCTAATGTAATAAAACTACATAAAATGTTTAAGAAAAGCCCTATTAAAATATACAAAGCATACTAATTCATGAAGTCAAAGTCAAAGCAGAGTGGAAATATGAGCTTTAATAAAACTATGCCTGTTGTAAATAACTACTCAAGCACAGTCATTTTTTTGCAAATTGCATGGGATATAGCTCAGTCTACTCGAAGCAAAGAATCTCTCAGTGGGATAAATGCATCTTAGTCAGAAATAGATTAAAAGATACAGCTGAGCCATCAATAAGAACCAGATAGCACAGTATTGTTTGCTCTTTGTTTTGAAGATGTAATTGCAGATCCCAGGATGTCAAGAAATCTGTGCACATCATGGAAAGAATTGTAGAGAGGAACTGGAGCAACGCGAAGAGCATTTGGTTCTCGCATGTCACACTGCAAAACAGAAAGGGAACGTTCAGTATATTCAGGTCACTTCATATTTATCTGTCAGACTATATTTTTCAAATGTCATCCTTGCCTTCAAGGACTGGACTGGCAAGGAGACACAAGTGAAAACTTTGGGCCCCCCAAGAAACTACCATGAGGAACATTATTATGAAGAACATAAGAAGTGTGGTGTGTTGCCTAAAAAAAGATGCAAGGCTCAGGATGGGCAGGACTCTAGCAGTGCCATCGAGGGGTTCCAAACCATCTACATAGCCCCATAATTCACCTTAGCGCCTATAGCAACCCATAGTTGAATAGGCGCACAGGTGACAAAAGAGCCACCACAAAACAGAAATGTGCCAGTATGATAGAGCGCCTTGTACTACAGGTACAAGTAATGTCGCAGGGCTAGCAGTATTTTTCTTCCCCCCCCCTCCATGAATTTGAACATTTTGCTGAATAGAATAATCTCTCATATTTGGAGCATATTACTGCATTGCAAAGACAAGCCAACGGTGTAAGGCCCTGTGCCCTCTTAAAAGCAGCAGTTCCTGGAATTCCCTGGCAGCACCAAACCAGCAGCATATTTAGCCTAGAAGAGTTGCCCTTTGGGGACACAAGTCACCAGCAGAAATAAAACTCATATATCATTTATATGGCATTACACTATCAGCCTCACCTCCCAGCACTTCTAAATCACCAGATGTATAGCCTTAAATTTAGCTTTTACTCTTTTTGTGCAGTGCTGACCGGTAACCGTGCCATTACGTGGCACTGCCGTTCAGCGGTCTCTTTTTCTGAGTGCTGAAACACGTCTTTAAGGGAACGATAACTTTTTAATTTCTCCACCTTGATGCCTCGCAAAGAGCAAGGATTTGGCCATTTGCAGATCAGAAAGGGGACTGATGGAGGTTCAGAGCTCCTTGTCATCGTTGGGCTGTAAGTGTGTGAGCTGTAGCGATGAGGACAGTGAGCACCCCTTGAGTTCTGCTGACTGCCAGCACCCCAGGGTGGCACAGCCGCCCTCTTTGTGGTCTCTGGCCTCATGCCTGGACCCACAGCAGGGGACCTGGGCAAGCACACTGAACAGGAGAGGCTTGCACAGGCAGTACATTGCACTGGACAGCTCTGGCACACTCATATTCGTGTTTTTCCAGTGATTTTGTTTTTTTCTTTTCTTTTTTTTTTCCCCTATCTTTCCCGTTCAGACCATCAGCTTCAGATCCGTAATGTCTCCCCCATCATAATGCACCCATAAAACAGCTCTGACCTCAGTAGCGTCTCCTGGGTGCTACTCACAGAACTACTAGAAATAAATCCACAGAGAAAGAACAATATACAGCCTAACAAGTAATTTATACAATAACTCGACTTATTTATTATTTGCACACCTAAAGACTGAAGATGCTATGCAAGCAATTTTCATCATTTCCAATCTTTTTTGGCCTTATACAAGACTATATTTGAATAAAAGCAAAATGATTACTATGGTATGGTAGAGGCTCACAAAACAATGCGTAATAAGAGGAATTTCGATTTACTCACAGCTACTCCTCTCTTCTCCAGCTCTTTAAACACAGATTTGATTGGAAGGGAAAAAGATAACGTAAGCTGGCATCCTCTTTCCTCAATCTGAGATGGTGTGATTATTTTCACAAAGGGCTTCTCCGGATTTGTTTTATCCTCACTGTAGTAATGCTTTATCAGGTATTCCAAGTAACCGGTGAGTAGAACAGATTTCCTTCTCAATGCTTTCATTGTAGTTTGACCAAAAACCTATAATAATTTTAAAGCATTAGAATGATAATGTGCTGCTATAGAAAGTAAAAAGGAAGTAAAGAAGACTAAGGTTATTTCTGAGCATTTTAACAACTTAAATCATTTAGGTGACGCAGGGACCAAACACTGTCATTCTTCCTTTGCTAGGTAGCAGGTTTCTCTATCCATATTATCATTGGAATCAAGTGGTAATGTCAAATAGACATTATAGATAATGTCTTTACATAATGAAAGAGATCTCTGTCTGCTCTGAAAGTTTTACACACATCTATTTCTGCATAAATGAATTTGCGCACAAAACCAGTTTGCTAAGAGAACATTCTTTGGCATATCTGAAGAGGTTCCATAAATTCTCTATACATTCAAGAGGGCTGCATGGAACTCAAAATCACATGTAAGTTTTTCCTTGTATGTGCCTCAAGTAATAACAGTCAAGGGTCAAGACTGAAACATCATGACTGATCTACAAACTCTTGTCTTTGAAACCACAAAATTTGTACTAACATATTGATTTTAATGTACATGCTCTGTCTCTGCTAGTCCTTAAGAAGAAAATATATTTGCTTCTATCTGGTTTAATGGCTCTATGCTCTTACACAGCTACAAGGACTGGTGAGCTGCAGAAAATCAAAACATCGTGAGACATGCAAAAGTTATTGCTTAAAAGTGGCTGTACTGCTTTGCCACACAAACAAGAACAGGCAAAGTGGCAGAAGAGTGTGGGAGCAGGAGAAGGTGCAACAGCTTCTGTTTGTACTCTGGAAAGGCTCAGTTACAAGGAACGGTAGAAAATGCGAGCCCGGAAACGATTCACCCCTCCCTTTCCCAAAACCCTCCTTTTCTTCTTCCTATACAAGTAGCTTCCGGGAAAGATGACAAGACATGGACATGCAAGTACACAGCAGTCACTTCAAATGAGACTCTGGCACATAGATGCCATAGAGCTGCTCACGGACAATTATGCTGCCACGACTGCAGCTGCAAAATCATAGGCAAGGTGGAGGTCCTGTATGAAAATCCATGATCTTCACTCTCAAGAAATCACTGTCCCACGCTGAAGGAGTAACACATTTAAGATGGCCTATATCATAACCTGGAGCAGCATTTAAAGAGGTAACTGATAAATCCTGATCAAAATAGAAGGTCTGCTTTCCAGCAGCATCTAGAAATCACTCTTTTGTAGAATATCCCAAGTATTATTCCATGATGCTATCACAACCACTAGATGCTGCACAAACCCAAAAGCTCCTACGTGTTTTCTGTGAAACAAAATATGGCTGCTGTAAGACAGACTTTGCATGGAGACAGCCCAGTCAGGGAAATGAATGTGGCAGGGATGAGAGCCTTCCGCAACCAGTACTTGTACAGGTCAACAAAAATCTAGAGGTGCTCCCCTCACCGCACAGGCAAGCAGAGCGTGCACACGGCTATTCAGCACATTACTGGAGGTAAAATGCAGACCTGCCTCCTATTCCTCTGGGCTTTGCAGCAGTATGAGGGACGTATCTCCTTAGGCTGCATGCAAAAATCTGTTTGCTCGGGCTTTGTGCAAGGAATATTTGGCCTCCTGGGTGAAATTTTTTTGAAAAGATCTTTTAAATGTGGCTGTAGAGCGCTCCCCTTTTTTCCATAAAAGGGAGCAGCCACTGCCATAACCATCACTTTAAGCATTATTGAGGAATAACATCCATTAACACTTGCAGTTTGCATTGTTTCCATTGGAAACACTGCCTTCTGCTTAATGTGTCCCAGTGAAGGTGGCATGCAATTTCGCTAGCCATCTCTTGCCAGACATGAAAACTATTTTGTTTCCCACTGTATTAGAGCAATTAGCACTGGGAAATCCTGGCTGTGCCAAAAGGTAATGCAGGCACGGAAAGGGGAGGCGATGGAAACTGCTCAGCCCTCATTGTTCGAGGCTCCCTGCAGTGGGCTAAATGACATCAACCCACACAAACTGGAGCACTGACAATCTGGGTCATAGCAGAATAGCTTTCAGCGTATCTCGAAGGTCACATAAAGTTTAAAAAAATATATTGGATGTTTAAGGACTAACAAAATAAATTGTCAGGCAGAACAAGAAGCATTGCTGTGCCCTTTGCAGTCCTTCAGCATCGCGTGTGAGCTGGAGAGAGCACAACTGGCAATTTTCTGAGTTTGTTTGCTTAAGATACTGCTTTTTCAGTAAATAAGGAAGAGGGACATACACTGTAGGGACATTGCTCTTTGTTCCAGCATCAGCTTTGCTGTGACACTAGCGTTAATGGATTGCTAGCAGAAATAAATTTCTCCCATTTATGCTGATGGCAAAACCTTGCTAACCAAGGCAGGCTTGAAAAGCAGCTTAGGAAAAATTTTAATATAGTAGCACATGCAGCATATAGCAGGGAAATCTATGTAAAACTATCCTTTTCAGCTGCAATCACCTAGTATCATGCATTTCAGGGGTGAACCATCCACAAGAGAAAAGCAGGTGCTTCTCGACATGAAATGCAGCGCGATCCAAGGTGTTCTTGAGGACCACTGCATGGCTTTAGCCAGGGCTGAATTGTGCTCTCCAGGGTGGAGCAGAGGGCTTTCAGCACACGGGTCACCCCTTCCTAGCCAGGAAGGGGTGAGGTCTGTACGGCAGGGCTGCCCTTTCCACTGTTGCAATCTTGGTGATTTGTACAGAGATGGGTCTGAGGTGGGGCTCTGCTCCTCTGGCCACCAAAAAGCTAATGAAGAGGTGAAACAAAACCCATTCTGGAGCTGTACCACATTCACGAATTCCCCTTTTAGGAAGCATTCACAGGCAGCTTCTGTCTTTTCTGTTTGTAGCAAAAGGGGCTATAGCAGAGGATGGGTTCCTTGAGCCACTGGTTCAATTTAAACTCCAGGATACCAAGTGGCTGCATCCATATTCTTTCATAAAGGAGCTAAGTCTGTTTTGCCCAAGGAAATATATGTAGAAGCAACTCTGGATGCAACTTTTTAGAGTTACACGATTCCTTCCTAGGGAGATGGTCTAATGGCACCTTTTGCATGGGTTGCACTGAGGCAAGCCCTGAATATCTCTGTGGGAAAAGCTGCTGTCTGTACCCAGCCCCTAAAAGCTGGGACAAACATGGTGCTAGCCATCAAGCTCGGAGGGGAAAACCTCAAGTATATTGCATCCAACGGCAAAGTTTGTGGGAACAGGGAAGGGATGCGTATATTTAATAAATGCCTTGGTCTCTCGGGGTTGTGGGGTTATTTTGTTTGTTTGCCATTCCTCCCCCCTTTTGCTTTTTAGCTATTCTGCAATCTTTTGTAAAGGGGAACAGCAATAATAAGCGTAACATTCATTTAACATTTTTATACTCTTAAATTCAGGCTCAAAGTAAAGCAATTACTTACCTCTAAACTAGCTTGCAGAGCACAGACCAGTAAAATTGGGGGATTCGATAACCGAAATCCATTAATTCCTTCACTTAGTTGTAATTCTGGAAAATGAATAACTTATATTAGTGTTTTTGATTTCTTCCTTTAAATGGATTGGACCTTATCTTGAAGTCCGCCCTTGCGCAATAAAATATTTCACTAATGTGGCCTGTAGGAATCAGTCATTAAAAGGAAATAGTAATCTATTCACAGCTAATACTTTTAGCTTCGAGAGAAGCCCAATTTTATCCAGCGGAAGACTTCATTAGCGGCTTCATGGGAACTAGAGAACTGCAATTAATTTGTTTAAATGGTCTGTGTTAAAACCACCTTTACACTTGAATCTCTTTTAACACTGGCACAAAACAGAGAAATTCCAAGTCAGCAGAGGCACGCTCGTGCGGAGCCACGGTGCTGCCACGAGCAGGGAATCATGTTCCTTAACTTTATTAAACTGATGAGACACGTGGGAGTCTGCATATGCAGCTAAGTGTAGCTTCAGGCCACGCGGAGAGGTTGCACAGACTTTAGGCTGTGAAATTTCACCAAATCTCCTTAATAAATCTATAAAGCCTTGCTGTAAGTTCTGTGTCACCATTCATATTTCATGCTCCAGCACCAGAGCAAGAGGATGCTGCGGAGAAAATGCTTTCCACGTGCAGCAGACTGACTAATTTTATAATGATTGTTGCCCAACATCTCCCCTATAAACTGCCCATGGAAATGAATAAACAACATTTTTCTTCTTCTAACAGTATTTCAAGGCAATTTGAGTCTCCTGCTGGCTTTCCATAGTGCCACTCTCTTACATTCGGTCAGAAAATGAAGAGCAGACTGAGGCTATTAGAGGGGTGTTCTCCAGCCAAAGTCACATCTATAGGTGCTGCCACAGAAAATTAAAAATATATTAAAACCAAAAAACCCAATCAAACTAAAAAGCTCCTTTCTCCTCCTGATCCCTCAGGCTACCCTCTCTGCCATACTTTCAAATGGAGCTGAACAGTCTAGCTGTCAGCTTTGGCAAGGAGTCCTCATTTCATATTGGGGCAATAAGTGCTTCACTATTTCAGAGTGGGTTTAGTTTTGTTTTATAACCCATCCTTCGCTAGTGCGAGGAATTTGGAGATTCTGAAACATTAGTGGTATTTCATGACTTATGTCAGGTTGCCTTACCTTTATTTATATCATTTCTCATTAATTCCAGCGGAACTAATCCTAAAGTAAGGTATTACCCAAGTGAAAGGTAGCAGATCCTCGCTCCTCAGAGACTTACGTGTTTAATTCACTGAGATACTTTGAGAGTTTCATCCATATTCTATATCTGCATTTTGAAGGAATTTCAACAAAATGTCTAGAAGCAGACAGTCAGACCCATATGCCCAGAGACCAAATTTATCCCCACATTTACTTTGTTAACTCCATTGCATTACATATTTGGGATGAGTTTAATTTAATACCTTTAACCTAAGTGAGGAAACGTAAAGTTCTATCCTTTCTACTCAAACTACTATAAAAGTGGAGCTGGGTATACATAAATACATCAAATACAGTAAAACCAAAAGTGTAAAAGTACATACTGTTTTCCATGAGGAAACGTGTTTTGAAGTCATGACCCCACCAGCCGATTAGTCTAAGATTGTGTAAAGAAAGTAAATTAATAGCTATCTTGTTATAACATCTTCTAATTTTGACTTAAGAGTTAAGAAATATATACGATTGAGAAAGGAATACAATGTATTCTTAGAAATGTATATATAACAGTGACAAAAATGCAATATATTCTCTAAACAGCTGGCACTAAAAATTTAATATTGCTATTTGGAAATCTCTCTTTAACTACTGATGATAAAATGTACCACATCTTTCAGATAACTATTGATTTCTAACAGTATCCATTTTGTCTCAATTCATTTCACAAAATGAAAAACAGAACAGAAATATTTCCATAGTTTTGTTCCAAGGTATTAAATTCAACCCACACACACACTTAAACTTCGTTTAATGAATATTGAAAGCTGAAAGGTGTTATAAAATCTGACCTAGTTTCACCAAGGAAAGTAGTGCTGGACAGCAGACACAACAGGACCTCAGGAGGAGGACATTGCCTTCATTGTGAATTCTGACTAAACTTTTCTTCTCCTGAACTTATCATTCAAAAAACTTCCTTTAAAATGAAAACCAAACCATTTTTATCCAAAAATATTTTTTTTAAGATAATTTCAAAAAAAAAAAATATTTAAAGATCAATTACTTTGAAAAAGATCAATTGTTTATTCTCTACCTCTTAACTCAGTACATGGTAATATTGGTGACTAATAATATCAGTACCACTTGAAATTTTCCATCTATCAATGCTATTACAATATTAGGAAGTCACCACCACAGACTCCTTCGTGACCTTCTATGGTCTCCAGGACTGGATGTGTTGGACACCATGTGTTCCAAAGTTTTTTCTCAGTTTTCTCTATGCCAGGTAGCAGAGTTGTTAGGAGTGAAGCCCGGCAAGTGTTAAAAATTTGTAATAGTAAAAAAAAAAAAAAAATCCCTTATTCAAATTTGTTGCCACTGCTGGTTCCGCGCATTTAAGACAGTATGAAAATTTGTAATAGTAAAAAAAAAAATAAAAATCTATAAGTAAAACTCTTGGTAACTCAGGCTTCCTGGAATTAAACAAGGAAAAAGAAAGTCACTGCCCCTCTCTAAAGCAGAAGCACTTCTTTACAGCATGCTTAAAAGAGCTTAGATCTGCAAAATTAATGCCATGTTTAAGTTAAAAACTTGTTATATGAATACCGCATAGTGTAAAATAAAGTACTTCATATTTCTATATAACAACGTCGGTTTTATGTTTACTTCCATTAAAGGTTCTGAGCTGCATCCAAACATAGTGTATACAGAAAAAGCATGTTTTTTTCTTTATTTCTGCATGATGTTTTTATTATTCTAAGACCCATGAAAATCAATAGTGCAATATACATTCATTTCAAATGAGATATTACATTGGCAAAATGAATATACCTCAAATAAAGTATAAAGCAGCTTCTGCCCAAGTGACTCAGTTACTGATGCTTTGAATATTAAGATATTCTGGCTATTTAATACGAATTGTATAATATATATATAACATTTAACTATAAACCCTGAATATTTTATGTTACCACAACATACTATTACTGTCAATGGCGCACACGTTCCATGAATTCCAAAAGTTTTAAACAGAAAAAAAAAATCCATGGGAAATACAACATTTGGACTATTCCTCTGTAGAAAACAATACTATACTCTATTTGGGCCACATCCTAAAGTCAAAGACAAAATAAACATCAACCAGAATATTACTGAGATAGAGCCTGATGAAAAGCACTCTGTTTGCATTTTGAATGCTCAAAACTTGCTAACTCTGAAGCTGGCTTAAAACCAGATCTCTGCTGCAGCACCACATTTGCAACTTGGAAACTGAAATTTCCGAACTTTTCCAAAATGACAGAATGAAGGATTTTTTTAAAGACAGTTTTAGCTGTCTTGCCCTTTCCCACCATAACTTTGACAATTTGATTTCCCCC